GGCTGCTGTCAGTGGGCATTGGCGGGCGTGAGTCCCGGTCCGGCTGCCTGGACGTGGAGAAGGGTGAGTCCCTCGCTGGCTGGCACCTCCAGGATGGGGGGAGGCGGGTGGATATGAGGGGAGAGGGGGAAGACAGGGAGGCAGCCTGGACACAGTTTGAGGCACCCTGCCGTCCGCAGACTGCTCCATCAGCAAGTTCCTGAACCGCATCCTGGGGTTGGAGGTGCACAAACAGAACGCACTCTTCCAGTACTTCTCCGACACCTTTGACCACCTCATCGCTGCCGACAAGAGGGAGGGCAAATACGACATGGGCATCCTGGGTGAGTCCTGTGGGGACACCCTCCCCTGGGCCGGGCCCCAGACCACCATTCGTCTCGCTCACCCACTCACCCTCCACAGACCTGGCCCCTGGCATCGATGAGATCTACGAGGAGAGCCAGCAGGTGTTCCTGGCGCCTGGGCACCCGCAGGATGGACAGGTGGTCTTCTACAAGGTGAGCAGCCCTGTCCCGCTCACCGCCCCTCCCCCCCGGCTCACCGCCCTTCCCATCACTTGACACCTGCGTGCCCGCAGATCAGTGTGGACCGCGGCCTGAAGTGGGAAGAGGCCTATGCCCGGTCGCTGGAGCTGACGGGCACCCACGACGGCTTCTACCTCTCCTACAAGGTGGGTCCTCCAGCGAGCCCCCAATGCTCTCCCAGGGGCAGGACCCAGGCTGGTGGGTTGGCAGGGGAGGGCGGTGGCCATCCTCATGCCCTCTCGGTTGACATGCCCCCCGCGCACTGCCCCATCCAGGTCCGCGGCAACAAGCCCAGCTGCCTGCTGGCCCAGCAGAACCGCGGCAAGCTCTTCACCGTGTACAAGCCCAACATAGGGCGGCAGAGCCAGCTAGAGTCCTTGGATAGCCTGAGCCGGAGGTTCCACCGGGTAGGTCCCCGGGGCCCCCTCTGTGCACTTAATGCTCCAGTGTCCAGCAGCCCCCAGGCCGCCCCCTGCTGCGAGGTGGGGGATGAGCAGCCCTGGGTCCTTTGCGCCGCAGTTTCCCGCCCGCTGACCAGCTGGGGAGCGCGGACAGGCTCCTGCAGGGGCTGAACCCGCTGTGTCCTCAGGTGACGGCAGAGGAGGCCAGGGAGCCCTGGGAAAGCAGCTACACGTTCTCGCTGACGCACTGCAGCCACACCACGTGGTGAGGGCCTGGGGTGGCCTGGGGGGACTGTTGGGGGCACGCGCTCGCTTTGCGGCAGCTGGTGAGAGCCGTGGTCCCTCGCAGGAACCGGCACTGCCGGCTGGTGCAGGAGGGCAAGGACTGCGCACAGGGCCTGCGGCTGCGCCACCACTACATGCTGTGCGGGGCCTTGCTGCGCGTGTGGGGCCGCATCGCCGCCGTCATGGCCGATATCACCAGCAGCAGCTACCTGCAGATCGTGCGCCTCAAGACCAAGGACAAGAAGAAGCAAGTCGGTGAGTCAAGGGGGTGGGCTGGGGGAGGTGGGCGACCTCAGCCCCGCCCCGCAGGCCCTGATGCTCCCGCCCCTGCCCCGCTGCCACAGGCATCAAGATCCCAGAGGTCTGCGTGCGCCGAGTCCTGCAGGAGCTGCGGCTGATGGACGCTGACGTGAAGCGCAAGCAAGCGCGCACTCGGGGTCTCCTTGCACCGCCGCCCACCCCACGCCCGCTTGCTTTGCCCTTCGGCCCTGGGGAGGTCCTGGACCTCACGTATAGCCCCCCGGCCCAGGCCTTCCCCGCGCCCTCACCCTTCACCTTCCCGGCCCTGGGCCCGGGCCTGGGCCCGGGCCCCGGCCCCGGCGGCCAGCTGCTGGGCGCCCCCGACACCCCAGCTGACCCCGTGGCACTTCTGCACCAGGGCTGTGAAATCAACTTTAAGGAGGTGCTGGAGGACATGCTGCGCTCCCTCAATGCCGCGCCGCCCCCTGAACCCCCCGGCCCTCTGGGTGCGGGGGCGGCGGGGGCACCGGCCGGTGGAGCACCGGAGCGGCAGAGCGTCATCCAGTTCAGCCCCCCGTTTCCCAACTCCTAGGTCCAGGCATCCTTCCCGAACGAAACTTATTTATCCGTAATAGGCTCCCATCTACACGGGGAAGAGGGTGGCTAGCCGAGCAGGTCCAGGACCCCAGCCGACTACTGAGAGGAGCAGGGCCAGGGGCCCCTCGTCCAGCCTCCTGAGGCCTCCATTGCAGTGCCTTCCCGCCCGGTGCCTGGGCAGACCCCCAAAATGCTGTCCGCCCCGGGGGGCCCTCTGAGGTCTTGCCTGATGGGCAGAGGCCTTGTGCAGCCCCCACTCAGGATACTTGGGGGCCAGGCAGGGCCTGGGGTGGCGGTCCTTCTTCTCTGTGCCTCTATCCTCTACTGCCCCCCTCCAGGCCTGGGTTGGGGCTCCCACCCCACCCACCTTACAAGGCCCTGTTCAGGCCTGTACCCCTGACATCCGCAAAACTGGGTGGCCCCAAGAGCTGGAAACTCAGGAAATCCCAGGTGCTCAGGGCCCCACCGCCTCTGGGGGGCTCCAAGGGGCAGATCCCCTCTTAATATATGCAACCCCTCCCTGCTCTCTGTGCCCTAAATTATTGTCCAGCCACCTCTCTCAGGGGCCTGGAATCCCTGCAGAGCTGGTGGCTGGCCCCCTGGTTTCTATGTGTATTTATAATTAATTCAAGTGTATATATGTAAAGAGATCTTTTTTAAATATATGTGCCTTTTCACTACTTCCCAGGCTGTCTGCTGCTGCGACCTGCAGGGCAGCGGGGCGGGAGGGGGGCAATGGTGGTGGGTGCCCTGCATGTTCCTTCCCTTTGGGGTGTGGGGGAGGTCAGGATGGCTGCTGGCCCTTATCTCTGCCAGCTCATCTCACCCACAACAGCGCCTGGCCTTGTGGATGCCTGGGGCCAGGCTAGGGGAGATCCCACCCCGCCGGGCCCTTTGTCCAGTGTGATCCTGGCACCTGGGCAGCAGGCCAGCTACCTTTGAACTGACTATACCAAACCCCTAGAGCCTTGGACCAGATGCCCTGCTCCCTGCCCACTAGAGATGTGACCCCACTGGGCCCCTCTTGGTGATGCTGAGTCCCATTCCTCAGAACCCCTTGATCTGGACTGACTGCCTTCTCTGCCTTGGTTTCTTCCCAGGTCTGCTCCAGATGGTGTTGGGTGTGGCAGGCAAGGCAGCCCAGGGACAGGCGAGCCCAAGAGTTGGGCTCAGTTTGGAAGGCAGGACGGGATGCCTAGCCTATGGCCGGAAAGTTGGAGAGGGACTAAGGAGCAGTCAGGAGACCCTGCTAGAAGCAGCCAAGGGTGGTAGAGGTGGCTTTTGTCCCGCCAGCCAGACCTGGCCAGTCCCCTCCCCCTGTAGGTCACCACTCTTGGGGGAAGGCTGCTGATCTTCCTGGCTGGTATGGGCAGGAGGGGAGCCCGCTCAGCCATTCTATAGCTGTGTGCCCGCCCACCGCTCTCACAGGATGGCCCCTTTGAGCAGCAGGCAGGCTGTACCCACCCACAGCCCTTTCCCAGGGAGTGGGGCTGTATCCGCCAGGTGAAGCCCACGGGCAGGCCTGACGCCGGGACTCTGTCTTCATCACAAGGCCGCATGGTGAGCAGGCCCTGCCAGGCATGGCTCAGTGCCCAAACCAGCCTGGCCTGATGCCCAGCCTGGGTGCAGCGGGCCTCCAACAGCAGGGTCACGAGTCCAGGTCCCCTGATCTCCCACACCTGGGTACACTAGAGACCAAGGCCACCTGGGCTGAGAGCAGCAGCCAATGAGGAGGCATTACCTCCCCCAGGATCAGCTCGGCTGGGCTGTGCTGGGCTGAGATTAACAACCCCAGGCAAAAGGACACGCACAGCCCTCTGAACCCCGAAGGAACTCCACCTCCCACTTGCCCGCACCCCCTGAGCCCTGGGTTAGCAAAAGCCAGAAGCAAGCCAATCTGTGTTGTGTTGTACATTTTATTCCCACAAGGCAGCCAGGGGTGGGGTTGCCAAGCCACAGCCAGGCCAAGGGACCTTCCTCCGGCAGGAGTGCACGCCAGGTTCTCGGGTCTGCCCCACCAGGGGCTGGTTTTCAGACAGACCGTCATAGGCACCGGGGGAAGGCTTCTCGGAACACAGGCAGCAGGCTTGGGTAGGGGCAGCACCTTGTGGAGCTAGAGGTAGCATGGCAGGTCCTTCTCTATCACCTGTGGGGGAGAAGGGGGTGAGGGGCGTCTTTTCCTGAGTACCCCCAGCGGGCTCCCCATGTCCTGGTAGGACAGGCACCTACCAGGGGCTCTTCCATGGGACCATACCGCTTCACCACACAGCCATTCTTGTCAATGAGGAACTGCAAGGAGGCCACCGTGGGGCTGAGGTGAGACAGTGGCCCCCACCTGCCCGTCCCCATGGCTCTGGACTCTCAAAGCAGCACAGCTGTGGCAGGTGGCTGTGTCTGTCCACCCAGCCAGGGCATCTAACCCCCCTTACCTTGGTGAAGTTCCATTTGATGGCGCTAAAAGAGAAGCAAGAAGTTGTGAGGAATCCCTTGGCAGTTGCAGATACCCCCTCCACTGCCCTGGGGAAGCCATCCTGTCCTCCCCCCGGCCCCCAACTCACTTTCCCAGCATGCCCCTCCCCTTGGGCTGGACTTTCATCCATTTCCACAGAGGGTGGGCATCGTCCCCATTTACACAGATCTTGCTGAACATATCGAATTTGACGTTATAGCCAGCGGCGAACTCTTTGATCTCCGCATTACTCCCTGGCTCCTGTGTAGACCCGGGTTGGGGGGGGCGGTGAGTGGGGAGGGGCCTATACCCCCTTCAGTCCCCGCTTCCACAGACAGGTCCTCTCCCCAGCCAGCACAAAGGGACACACAGGGACATCCAGGGCCAGCCACGACGCACCTGCCTCCCAAACTGGTTGCAAGGGAAGGCCAGGATCCGTAAACCACACTCGGCGTATCGGGCGTGCAGGTCGACCAGCTGAGTGTAGTTTACTTCAGTCTTGCCTCATTGCGAGGCCACATTGGTGACGATGCACACGTGGCCCCTGGAGATGGGATGAGGCGGTCAGGTCAGGGCCACGACCTTACCCCCGCCACCCCCACTAAGTGGGCAAGGACCCACCGGTACTTGTCCAGGTTAACCATGCGCCCGTCGATGTCCTTGGCTGAGAATTCGTGCATGGAGCGAGCACAGCGCCAGTCGTCGCGGGACGCGCACTGCAAGGCAAGAGCTGGCTGAGCGGCCGACTGACCTCGGGGCGTGGCGTCCGCAGCCGCTCGGCCCACTCGCCCAGCCCAGGGTACCTAAGGGAGAAAAACCCGGGCCCTGGGACTAAGCAAAATGTGAGGCTCCTCCTCAAAGGCTCCCCTGTACAACAGGGCGCATTGGGCCGGAGTCATTGAGACCTAGGGAGGGCTCGGGACCCTGCCAGGTGCCCCAGCGGATGGGGGAGGCCGCTGGGTGTGGGGGGCCTCTGTGCGCACCGGGTCTTGGGATTCAGTGGCGCAGCCGCTCTCCCCGGCTGGGGGTCCCGCTAGCCCAGGGCTCTCAGGAGCTGGCCTCCTCCGCCGGGGGCGCGCCCTCCTGCGACGGCATATCCGAGCCCTCCGCCTTCGAGGGGCTCGGCGCCGTCGCCCGGCCGGCAACCGGCGCCGCTGCCCGCGACGACCCGGGGAGCAGGCGGCTGCGCGGCCCATGCCCGCAGGTCTCTGACTGAACTTGTGCCCACCGAGAGCCGGGCCCCGGGGACAAAGGGCCGGTAGCCAAGGGCGCCAGGCCGCTCCTCTGTGACGCCACCGCAAGGGGCCCCGGAGCGCGCAGGGCGGGGGAGGGGCAGTGACGACCCGTGGCGCGTGATCCCGGATTTCCACCCCTTCGGCCGCCCCGCTCTCCAGGCCGCAGTCGGGGAGCCAGAGGCCGAGGGCGCCACCCGCAGCTGCCCCGATACAGCAGTCTGTGCGCGTCAGGGGCTTCCAACAGGGGGTTCCGACCGCCCAGCCCTGTCCCCGGCCCCCCGAACGCCGCCTCGGCCCCCGACCCACACTCGGACAGTGACCCCCGCCCGCGCTCTAGCCACGGTCCGGATGGCCGCGGAGGGGGCCGCTGGAGCCCCCCGCCCAAGGTCGCCAGAAGGCAGGTCGCGTGCCCGCCCAACGGCCCGCTGGCCGGCCGACGGCGCCGCACTCACCATGGTGCTAGCCAGGCCCGGCGCAGCCAGAGCCCCGCAAAGTAGCGCTGGCTTCAGCAGGCGATACAGACGGCTAAAACTCATCTCGGCGGTGGGGGGCCCCGGAAAGCAGCGCTCCTCCCCTCGCCGAACCGACCAATGGACGCGCGCCGGTGGGCCTCACCTCCCCGCCCTACGACACGCCCAGCAACACTCTCACTGGTCGGATGCTTAGGCATCGCAGACGCGTGCCCACACCAGCCAATGGGAGGCCGCAGTGAGGCTGGCGGGGCGGGGCCTGGGCCGGGCTGCGGTTTTTGTCGCTAAGTGTGACTGCGCATGTTCATGCGCGGGCGGGCGGTCGCGTCCACGCAGGCGCCGCGGAGGTGGGTTGAGGACAGTTATCCGCACTGAAGGATGCCCGACAACTTGAGATACTACTGGAAGCCCGTGTCAGGGGATCGGGGTGGTGGGGGGAAAGGTTGGCTCGAACTCTCAGAAAACATGCCTCAGCTTACTGAAAACGTATTTGTTTCTTTAAAATGTAAATAAAACCACGCTGGGCGTCGGACTACCCCCACTCGGGCTGCGGTGTCGCTACGAGGGCCTGGAGGTCACCGTTGGCGACAGGCCCGGATGGCGGTGGCGGTGGCGCTGCCGCAGGATGCGCCATCAGTGCACGGCCTAAGGTCGCCGCCCTTGGACCTTAGCTTGGCTTAGCCGCTTATATAAGTGAACGTGAGCCCTCGGCGGGGGAAGGGAAGCTTAGGCAGTTACCTTGTGGTCCCGCCCCCCTCTCTGAGCGGACGCGCAGGTGTGTGCTTAGAAAGGAAAACACAAGACCAGAGGGATCTGCTGTCACTTCCAACGTGACACAGCACCAGTGCACGCGGTTGGGGACAGAGCGCCCACTGATCTGGCTCCTGGCGCATTTCCACTCGAGGCTCAGGCGTTGGGCCACCGCCCAGAGAGCAGGCCCACCCCATTCTCGGGACCTGAGTCACGGAATTCCACAGCCCAGCCCGCCTGGCTGCCCCTCACCGCCAGCCGCGGAAGGACGTTGACCTGCGGTCAGGAGGATGGTTTCAGCTTGTGCTGCTGGTCAATTTCTCTCTTCTTGGATCCTCCCCGTGGACGTTTCTGCAGAGGCCTGGGGGCAGAACTGTTGGGGCTGGGCTCATTTGGGGGAACTCCCCCCCACACACATACACACACACCCTGCAACCTAGGCCTGCCCCAGGGGGCTTAGTAGGCCGCATTTGGTGGCAAAGGTGACCCTGGGGCCAGGTTGCCACACTCCTGTCTTGCACAACAGCCTTCATGTATTTCTGCCTCTCAGCCTGATCAACCAGAGCCGGTGAGTTCTGAAGTCACATCTTTGCTGGAGCCCCCATTGTCTCAGCTTAGCTATCTCACTTCTCAGGAAATGCCCCCTCACTTCTGCCCCGGGTGGGGGGTGGGCAGCACTGGGTGTCAACTTCCACACCAGCCAGTCTGAGTGGCCCTTAGAATGACACAGCTGTTCCTAGTTTCCCTTATGGTGGGATCTGTAACTTTGTCATGACTATGGCCACCCTCTGCTTGGTTACTTGAGGGTTTCCAGGAAAATAGCTTAGGATGACTCCCTTTCCCCATGGAGCCCACTGCAGGGGAGACATGGGCAAGGTCTCATCCCATTCCTGACTTCATACCAGCTACAGTGAGAGCAGAGAGGGCAGGACAAGCTGCCGGCTGTGGTTCCAATGGCTCTGGGAGGGCTTTGTGCCTGGGGATTCGCTGCTTTTCCAAACATTCCTCCCCTTACAGAGGAGACAGTGGAATCCTGGGGAAGCCCCAGCCAGGCTCCAGGAAGGCGCCCCTGTGGTGGCCTTTGAGTTTAAAATTCACATAAGAACAACAACAAAAAATTCACATAACATAAAATTCACCATTTTCACCAGAGCATACAGTAAAGTGATTTTTAGAATATTCATAATGTTGTGGGATCATCACCACTATCCAATTCCAGAACAATTCTTATCACCCCAAAATAAACTCCATCCCCATTTGTAGTTACCCACCCCAACCCCTGGCACCCACCATCTACTTCCTGTCCCTGTTAAAATTCCTGTGAGTGGAATTAGACAGCACTTCTTTGCTTTGTGTCACTTATGCCATTCAAAAAGAAACCCTGTCCCCATTACCTGTCTCCTCCATCTCCCTACCTCAGCCCCTGACAACCATGAATCTACTCTGTCTGGGCAGATTTGCCTGTTCTGGACTGTTCACATCAATGGAGTCATGTACTAGGTGGCCTCTTGTGTGAGGCTTCTCTCTACGAGCATCATGTTTTCAAGGTTCATCCACATTATAGTGTGTGTCAGTGCTTCCTTTCATGGCTGAGTAATATCGTATGATATGAATGGACTATATTGTGTTTACCCATGTATCCATTGATGACTATTGTGCTGTTGCACTATTTGGCTTTGTGATGCTGTATTAGACTTTTTGCGTGGGCGTATGTTTTCATTTCTCCTGGGCATGCACCCGGGAGTGGAATTGCTGGCTCACATGGTCACTTTAAGTGTTAAAAGGAGCTGCCAGGCTTCCCTACAGCTGCTGCTGGATTTCACTTCCCCGGCCAAGAGTGTGGGGGTTGTGGCCTGATTTCTGACCCCTGGGCTCTCCCAACTGGCAGAGCTGCATGGTGGCGGGTTCCCAGGAGAAAGTTGCAACTCCATGTCCCATTGTTGAGGTCATGCAGTCACAAGCAGAATTCTGATTCATGGGCGATGGGGTGGGGCCCACCTGCTCCTGTGAGCCCATTCTCCCCTCTTCCCTGCCCCGAGTAACAGCAAGGTCACCTAACATCCCCTGCCACCCATACCTGGACCTTCCCCGGGTTACGTCCAGGCTGCCCTCGGGAGCCTCCAGCAGTTCTGCCTCCTCGCCCACTCAGATTTGCCCATCAAAGACACTCTTCTGTCTTAAAACTCACTCTAGGACATCCCTGGTGGCTCAATGGTTAAGAATCCACCTGCCAATGCAGGAGACATGGGTTCGATCCCTGGTCTGGGAAGATCTAGCATGCTGGAGGGCAACTAAGCCTGTGCGTCACAACTACTGAGTCCAGGCACCCTAGAGCCCGTGCTCTGCAACAAGAGAAGCCACCGCAATAAGAAACTTGTGCACCACAACTAGAGAGTAGCCTCCACTCACCACAACTAGAGAAAGCCTGTGCTCAGCAGCTAATACCAATGCAGCCAAAAATAAATAAAACCCACTCTAGACTGCCTCTCTCCCCGCTATATCCACATCTCCAATTTCTTTCCTCCCATAAAGAAAGGCCCCCTCCCTGGATCTGCCCTCTGTGGTCCAGTCCCCTGCTCAGTCCGCAGACTGCTTTGACAGCTGCTCCATGCCCCCTTCTCCAGACACCTCCTTCACCTGGCTCCAGGATACCTGGTTTCTACCCATCCTCTATTCTGTTTCAGGAACACTTATGTAGCGCCGGCACCCTGCAATCTTCAGCCAAGTACATACGCAGTGGGTGCTGTTCTTGCCCCTGTTCTACAAAGGGGGAGGGGGACATTGAAGCACAGAGAGGTTAAGTAATGTGCCTAGGTCACACAGCCAGCACTGGAGCCCAGGTAGCCACATCTCTTTGCTTTCTGCTGTTTCCTCCCCTCCTCCCAGCCTCAGGGCTCAGGCCTGACTTCCCATGCGCTCCGTGACCTCATCAGACTCTCAACTCCAGTCTGCACTGTGCGCCCACAACATCCACGTCAGTCTCCACTCCAAGCTCATCCTGAGTTCCAGGCTTGTACCCTGCTGTCCCCTGGATGTCTCCCCATAGGGTTCCTCAGGAGTCCCAAGCTCACCATGTCCAAGAGCTGCTCCTGATATGCCTCCTACACCTCCCCAGCGAGGTCTGTTCCTCCTCTGCTTGTCTCTGTGTCTCTCCACATCCTGTCCACCTACAGATCCTGTGAGCGCTGCCTTCCGGACACCCTGGACCTGCCCACAGCTCACCCTTCACTTGAAGCCTCATCTATCTCTGGCCAGGATGGTCCTCCCTAGCCCACTCCTTGGTCTCCCTGTTTCTGCCCTGCAGAGATGCTGAAAATGGCTCCAAACGAAAACTTCTCAAACCCAACCAGCAAGGGCTCCCAGGATCTGCCCCACCTGACCCTCTGACCCACAGGCCTCCTTGCTGCCAACACACTAGTCCTCAGGGCCTTTGCACACACTGTACCCTCCACCTGATACATTTTCCTCAACATCCCCAGGGCTTCTACCCTCTCACCCTTTGGGTTTTTGATGGAACCTTCCCTGACCACATTTGAGACTGCTCTATTTTTTCTTCCACAGCACTGTCTCCTTCTAACACGCTGTATCATTTACTTATGTCCACTGTTTCTGTCCTGTCTCTCCCTGGCATGTAAGGATGCTTGGTCTGTTTTGTTCCCTGTCCCTTTGGCTCCTCATTAAATATTGAATCACTGAATTAATATATTACTGAATGAAAAGTTACTGACACAAGTAAGCTGGGCTGAGCAGGCCTGAGCAAACCTCCTGAATGAACACGGAGGGGAAGGGCCGATGCAGAGGTTGTGCACTCTTGGGGGTCTGTGGCGTATCCAAGCAGGGGCTGGGCTGGGGCTCAGGGGACAGGAAAGGGGGAAAAGAGAGATGGGTGCATTTCATAAGCACCAGGAACTATACCAAGCTCCTCCCAAGTACGAGGATCTCTTTAGACACTCTAAAGTGGGGGACACGTTATTCTTTCCATTATACAAAACGGAAAACGAAGGCTCCACTCACACCTCCTCAGTCTCTCCAGATTCTAAACAGTCTCTGCAGATTCTAAACAGTCTCTCCAGCCTGGCGTTGAGCAAAAACCACCACTCCCGAGAGGCCTTGCGTCAAAGCATCGCGAGAACTTCTGAGGGGCGGGTGGGCGGTGCTGTTTGAAAGCTTCTCGCGCAGCCAACCGCAGCTTTAGTTAGGCTAGAGCTGCCCTTGGCAGTGCCGCTCCCGAAGGTCTCTGTATTCAGGCGTTCGCCTGCGACAGCCTTGCACGGGTAGACTACGTATTGGGGGCCTGATCAGGACTCGACGTAGGCACGGTGGGCGCGGGTCGTGCCGGTGGCAGGCCTTGTGTGTGAGATCGGCGGCAATCATGGACGACGAGGAGGAGACATACCGGCTGTGGAAGATCCGCAAGACCATCATGCAGGTGAGCCGCGCGGGGGCCGCCCTCCTTGGAGAACACGGTGAGGGCGGGCCTGGCTGTGCCAGACGAACTGGGCACGCGGCGGCCGAGGCGTGAACGGCGGGTGCGAGGACCCGCTGATGGGGACGAGCCTCTTCACTCGCAGCCGCGCGGCTGGAGCGGAGGAGTCAAGCCCCAGAGCCCCCAAAGAGGGTTTCAGGACCTCGCTCGAGCTGGAGAGAGGGAAGGCGGGAGACGCTGGGTCGCCGTGTGTTTGTGTTCCTGGAAGGTTGTGGTGTTATAGCCCCTGATCCTTGAAGTCCTTAATCAGTAAGAGTTGGTAACAGGCCAGACTAGAAGTTCAGGCAAGGCTTTGTTGGAGCTTATGGTGCAGCAGGAGGGAGCGAAAACAAGCAACAGGCGCCCTTCCTAGCTCGTCTTGACTGGGGTGAGGGTGGGCGCGGGTCCAGGGGTCATGCCAGAGTGATGAGTTGGGTGGTCTGCCCGCCCTCTGGGTGTTGCAGTGTGCAGGGATCACTCCTGGCACCCAGCTTTTGCTCCGTGCACCTCAGAAGTAGCAGTGTAGTTTATGACTTTTTGTTGTTTATAATTTGCTCCACCTGGGCAAGTGCACAGTTATTTTTAGTCCCACATAGTTTCTAGGTATTCTGTTGCTGGAGGAGACATTTGTCCAAGTGCAGGCGCTGCCGCAAAGGGCCGCAGCTCCCAGTCTGTCTTATCAGCACCACCTTAAGTGTATAACGCAGAATCCCGGGTTCTTGACGGTGGAAGGAACCCTGGTGGGCTGGTCTGACCGCTGTCTGGTGGCTACTTAGATGCCTTGCCCACCAACTTGGTCTCAGTGTCACAGCAGTCATACCAGCTTTTTCTGTGTACCACATGCTTAAAGCTACCCTGTGAGAGGGGTCCAGTGTGATGCCACAAAGATTTGGGGCCTTGATCAAGAGCACCCAGCCGCCTGGAAATCGTGCTGGAGCTAAGGCCGGGCTGTGACCCAGCCTCTCCAACGCTTGGCAGAGCTAACCAAGACAGGGCTGGAACAGCTGTGCTTCTACCTGATGGTGTCGGGGCCGCGGGAGAGGAGACCCAGGTCTCTGAATGGAGACTCGGCGGGGGGTGGGGGATGTGGGCAGGGCTGGGTGGCATCTCCAACCTTCCTTTCTCTGTCCGGGTCCTCACCTAGTCCGTGTGATCACAGAGCCCCAGTTTCTGAGCAGGACCTAGAATTGCTGAGCCTCAGGCTTTCACCTGGTTTCCCAGCCAGCACCCTCCCGGCCTGCTGTACCTGTCAAACCTACGCCCTGGGGCCTGGCTCTGGACTCAACATCCTCCCTTGCATCTCAGGCCTTTCCCCAGTCTCCTCTGCGGTGGCCTCAACCCACCGGAGCTCTGGCTGCTGTCCCACCTCCACTGTGCAATCATCTGCCCTTTCTCTCTGCAGCTGTGCCACGACCGTGGCTACCTGGTGACCCAGGATGAGCTGGACCAGACACTGGAGGAGTTCAAGGCCCAGTTTGGGGACAAGCCCAGTGAAGGGCGGCCAAGGCGCACGGACCTCACGGTGCTAGTGGCGCACAACGATGACCCCACCGACCAGATGTTCGTCTTCTTCCCAGGTGAGGGCTGCTCGGGGCCAGCTCACAGCAGCCACCTGCTATGCGCCCCAGAGTCAGGCACCCACCCTCATCCTTCTGCCCCCTGCCCTCCTTGCTGTGGGGACCCCTTCTCCAGCTTCCTTTTTCTCAATCATCCACTCATTCTCTCTGGGCCTAAAGATCACATTTCCAAATACAGTTTCATTCTGAGATTCTAGGGCCAGGATCCCAACAGAGGGACTTTGGGGACAGAGGGGGTTAGTGGAATGGGAAGTGAGGAGAGCAGCTTGAGGGGGCGGATGTACTGCACACGGACCCTGGGGCTGCCTTAGGCGCTGACCTGCTGGGCTTCTAGGGTCCAGCTGTTCCGTGGCAGGCCTTGCCTGCTGCCAAGATCGTGAGGACGCCCACTGCTGCAGCATGGAGATGGGTGATATGTGTCTGGCAGGACCATGCTGTCTGGGTCATCTCACCTCAGCTCATCTCTGAGAACCCCAGCCCTTGTCTCATGAACCCCCAGACTACACGACTTAATCCAGGGCTTCCCGAACCTTAGAGCCACTGAGCCCTGGGCAAGCCCAGACTCCCAGACCCCACTTCCAGAAGAGGTCCCTGAGGTCCAGGGGGCCCAGGGCACCTGTCAGCTCCCATGTGACCTGGAGGCAGCCATCCCCCCCATTCTGGGAACCAGTTGCCTGGTTCTTGCTTTGCACACGGGGAGGCTGAGGCCCGAGAGTGGGAGTGGCACCGCAGTGCCTTGGCAGAGCCAGGTTAGAACCTGGGTGCCTGACGGGAAGGGGCCCCGCAGCTCTGACCAGCCTGTGCTCTGCCTGCAGAGGAGCCCAAGGTGGGCATCAAGACCATCAAGGTGTACTGTCAGCGCATGCAGGAAGAGAACATCACGCGTGCCCTCATTGTGGTGCAGCAGGGCATGACGCCCTCTGCCAAGCAGGTAAGCCTGCCCCGCTGGGGTGGGGAGGAGCCTGGCCAGCACCTCTGTCCCCAGGCCCAGGGACTGGCTGCCACACTAGCTCCCAGCAACTCTCAGAGCATCCTGACAGGTGCTCACCTTTCTTGATGTGAGACCAAGGCCTTATCACTGTGCTGAGATCCTGGGCGGAGTTGGATGGGGTTTCCCAATTTATGATGCGAGATGTCTTTCTGAGCCACAAGGGTAAACCCTGCTCCACTTCCAGGGTGCCAGCTGCCCAGGAGGAGGAGCTGGGTTAGGGCGGGCCTGGGGGCCACACGGGGGTGGGCGGATGCCCCTGCTGCACTTGAGGGTTGATGTCTCTTCCAGTCCCTGGTTGACATGGCACCCAAGTACATCTTGGAGCAGTTTCTGCAGCAGGAGTTGCTCATCAACATCACAGAGCACGAGGTAAGGGTGCGGGGTCTCGGGTGGGATGAGACTGGAGAGCCACCCCAGCCCCTCACCTTTTTAGGAACAGCAGACATCTTGGGGGCCCCCAGTGTGGAAAGGAGGTAGGGCGACCCAGCCTTCAGTCAGAAGTTGGGGGGCAGGGTGCAGTTTCTATCTCCCCTGGTGCCCCGGGTCCCAGGATTGTGCCCTGTGGCCCATCTGCAGGGCAGGTGTGTAGGCTCCAGACACCCACCCCTTCCCTCCCAGTGTGGAATCAGGACTGGCGCAGACACCTGGAGCCCGAGCTGTACCCCTCCCCTGGGGGCTCCCAGGGTCAGCTGCCCCATGGAAACCGGGTTCTCTTCTCATAGCTGGTCCCGGAGCATGTGGTCATGACCAAGGAAGAGGTGACGGAGCTGCTGGCCCGGTAGTATCCTTTCTGGCCCCTGACTGGGCCCAGCTCCTCTCCCCACCCTGCCTTTCACCCCAACCCCAGTCAGTCCAGCAAGGCCTTTTCCCTGACCTGCTACCCAGTAAACTCCGAGAGAACCAGCTGCCCAGAATCCAGGCAGGAGACCCTGTGGCGCGGTACTTTGGGATAAAGCGCGGACAGGTAAGAAGCCCTCCCAGGGTGGAACTAGACCCAGGGCTTCTGGGCAGGGCGGAGGGAACCCCAGGCTGCTGCTCCTGCGCTGCTCCAGCTCTGCTTCCTGCCCCTAGGTGGTGAAGATCATCCGGCCGAGCGAGACTGCGGGCAGGTACATCACCTACCGGCTGGTACAGTAGCTGCCTGTGGACAGACAGCTGGCGTCGAGGGGCCAGGCAGTGGCATTCATCCCACTCCTGTGAGCGCGCCCCACCACTTCCGTCTCTGGAGGCAGCCCCAGTTCCGGCCTGGTTGTGCCCAGCTTCTGTGACGATCAGTCACAGATCACATGATTAACTGCCTGTTTCTCTCTCAGCATGTCCCCTGGGGGACAGAGAGACGGTCGTGACCACCCCCTCACTCCACCCCACCCCCGCCGCTCCTGGCCAGGAGTGTGGGAGCTGGTTGCCTTGGGAACCTTGCCTCTGCTCCCCCTGGATCCTAGGGCGCTTTGCCTTGCGCCATGGATCTGCCTTTCCTGGGCTGAGAGTGAGTCCCTGCAGCCTCTCCTGGATGCCAAGCCCTGGCCCTGGATCCCAGCTGACGGTGCCTCTGGAGGGGCCAGGACACCTCAGGGTGGCCCGGCATTCTCTGGCCTCCCCTTGCTGTGTCCCCCACGGTGGCCCTGATGCTGCCTGTCCAGGGGCTCTGAGGACAGTGGGGGTGAGATGGAAACTGGGATTTGGTTGCTTTGGAATGCTGGGCATCTTAAAGAATTAAAGCTATTTTGAATAATAAGTTCACTCATCTGAAGACCAAGGCAAAACAACATTGGGTTTGCTGTGAGCAGTCTTGCTCAGGCTCTAAGCCACTCCACAGGGTCACTGCCCACTTCCCCTGGAGGGGTGGCAGGGGTGGGGCTCCAGCATGCCCTCTAGCTTTGCTTCTTTGTGCTCTTCTTCCATAGCAGTTGGAGGTCAGACTACCTAGTTTTCCTCTATACTAACTTCAGAGGCCTCCCTCCCCAGGCTAAGTGCCATTGTTTGTATTTTTAATTAATAGCTTTGACGACATGTGATCTACGTACCATACAGTTCACCCGTTTAAAGTTCATGGTTCTGTGATTTTTAGTACATGCACAGTTGTGCACCACAGTCAACTGTGGAACATTCCATCACCCTAAAAAAAAGCCCCATCCTGTTAGCAGTCACCCCAGCCCAACTACCACTAACTCTGTCAATCTGCCTGTTCTGGACCTTTCCCATCAGTGGAATCACACCCTGTGTGTCCTTCTGTGTCTGCTTCTCTCCTGAGTATCGTGTTCTCAGGGTCTGTCCACATGGTAGTGAATGTCAGGGCTTCTCTCCTCTTCCTGGCTGAGGGACGCTCCCGTGTGTGGAGGGACACTGTGTTTCTTCTTCATCTGATGGACCCGCGTTATTTCCATGGTGAGTAGTGTTGCTGGGAGCGTCCAGGTACACATTGCTGTGGTTGTATTTATTTTTCTGGGTGTGGTGTGTACCTTGGAGTAGAATTAGTCTTGACAGAAGCTCTGGTCACTCTTTGGAGAAGCTGTCAGACTGTCTTTCCTGTGGCTGCCCCGTTTCTCATTCCGGAGCCCCTCTGTCCCAGGGTCTCCACCTCCTTGCCAGCACTGGTTCTTATGGCCTGGGGGACGGGGAGGGGGTACAGGGTGGCCAGTGGTGGCGCTGTGGTTCCAGTTCCCTTGCCAGGTGCTGGTGGTAGTGAGCATGGGGCTTGCCAGCTGCCTGTGGGTTACCTCAGATATGTGTCTGTGCGCAGGTCCTTTGCCTCATGTGTAGGGTTATTTGTCTTCCATTACTGAGTTTTAGGGGTTCTTTATATATCCTAGGCACAAATTACAAAACAGTTTTCCCATGTTTTGTATTTCTTAGGTGTCCCCATGTCGTGTTTTTCTGACTGCCTTGGGTCTTAGTTGCGGCATGTGTGGGATGTTAGTTCCCCAACCAGGGATCAAACCACCGCCTGCTGTGCTGGCAGGTGGATTCTCAACCACTGGACCCCAGGGACATCCATCCCCCTGCAGTCTTTATTTGTGGGTCTCAAATTCTGGGTTTACTCCTGGGCATCGTGTGACCTGGGGTGATCACTTTCCCACAGACAGATGGTGCTCTTGACGCTGTTTATTGAGGAATAGTGCTGCCCTGAGTTTCCACTCTCTTGTAGTGAATGCATAGACCCACGTGAGTCTGTGTTGAGGTCCTCTTTTCATTGATAAATTTAAGTGGGTTTTTTTTTTATTTTAAATTGGAGGATGATTGCTTTACAATACTGTGTTGGTTTCTGCCACACACCAACATGAATCAGCCATAGGTATATATATGCCCCTCCCTCTGGAACATCCCTCCCCAAAACTTAGGTTTTAAAATCATAATTTTACAGTACATCTTAACAGGCAAACAGGTCTCCCCTTTCTCCAAAACAGACATACATTGTTTTCCAAAACTGTCTCAGCCAGAATAAGCCAGATGTAGAGGGACAAATTCGTTTGATTCCATTTACCTGGAATCTTTAAGGAGTCAGGTCCACAGAGACAGAAGTAGATGGTGCTGGGGGGTCAGGGACTGGGAGGAGAGAGGGAGTTGGTGTTTCCTGGGGACCAGAGTTTCAGTTTGGGAAGATGAGAATGTTCTGGAGATGATGGTGGGGATGGTTGCACAACTGTGTGAATGTGCTGTGCTTGTGAACTATGCAAGTTAAAATGGTAGAAACAGTAAACATGTAGTTTACAGTCTTGGATGTTCTTAGATTTTTATTCTTGCTAATGAACTCTAGAATCAGTGCATTGATTCCCTGAAAACTCCTTTTCTTTTAGTTGGGGGTGGGGGGTGGCTGGGTGCAGGCCTGGCCACAGGTGTAGGGCCTCGGATGCAGGTGTGGACATTCCACCAGCGGTACCAGCTCTCCTTTGGGCCCCCCCCAACCCCTGCTTGTTGCTTGCGCATCGGTTCAGCTGCCTGCAAGTCCCTGAAATTGGTCCAGACTCCAGCCTCAGAGCTTCAGGAAGTGGGGCCCTTCCCCCAATTGAGCCTGAAGGTGGCACATCCAGTTAAAGTCCTCTGGTGGGGTTGCGTCTGGAACTGTTAGCAGGCCAAGCCGGCCGGACTCCTCGCTGGCACTTGGGTGCCTGGAGCAGGGTGCTTATCTTACCTCCTCCATGGAGAAGTGGAAAGCCCCTCTGCCCTGAGGAGCACCTGGAAGTGTTCACAGATCTATTCACTCATTCTTCTGTTTTAAAAGCTTAGGGGTCAGCATACTTGTTCTGTAAAGGCCAGAGGGTGAGCGTCTTGGCTGTGCTGGCCAGGTGGCCTTGCTGCAGTTACTCAACTCTGCTGCAGGGCAGAAGTGGCTACAGGTTACATGCAACCGGAGGGTACGGACTGGGCCTTTATCTTGGTTTGCAAAACTGCAGGCAGTCTTCTGAGCTCTTAGGACGCTTACGCAGGAGCAGAACTCTGACCACCACAGCTGGTTTTACCTAAGCTTGGGGAGGACTGCTGTTTTGGAGAGCTGTCCTGTCAGAAAGGGAGGCCTAGCAGGTTTTACCATGATGGGGTGTGAATCCATGTCATTCATCTCGTGAGTAGTTGGGTCTCTGCTTAGCCATCCCTGGCCCTCCAGGATAAACCTGTAGGAATGGAGGCAGAGCCTCGCCTCTTCCTGGCTATGCTGTCTCGGACAGTGGCTACTGTCTCCCTGAGGCTCTTCAGTCCGTGTGGGTTTCCTGAGCCAGGAATGCAGGGAAGTGGTGCCTTGTGTCTTATGTCCCAGGGTCACCTGGGCTCACACGCCCTATGGGGTTGCCCTGCGGTGTGGTGGAATTTCTATTCACAGCTTCCCCAGTGAGGAGCTGGCAACAGTGCTCAGGCTGCTGCTGCCAGAGGAGGCAGGCTCAGGTTGAAGACTTTATTGTATGCAAAAAGAAAGTACAGGTTGGAAAACTCCCATCGTGGGTACTTCCTGTAACGTAACACCAGTGTCCAAACCCGCTCTTCAGTAAGAGCCAGGTTGTCTTGAGGCCGGCCAGCCTATTTCCCGCAATGCGTCCAGCCCTCCTCCCAGGTGCCCTGTGACCTCCTCGGCCTGGCTCAGGGTAGGCAGGGTCCTCCATCACAGCAAGTCTGAGAGCGGGTGTGCAGAGCAGCGCAGGCAGAAGCTTCTGGGAAGGCAGATCAGTAATGCCCTGGCTGCTGTGGCCCGAAAGAGAGGCCTCGCAGTGACGTGTCCACAGGGGTGGGACCTGCCCGCTACCCCAGCTACACAAACTCCGGCTGCCTCTTGCAGCTGTTGCCCCCTACCAACCGCCCACCACGCAACCTCACAGCTGGCAGCCAAGCTGCGGCCACACTGTTGCACCGGTTGGTGGTGCTGTACTGGTTGGTGGTGGTGTACTGGCTGGTGTTGTTGCACTGGTTGGTGTTGTATTCGGAGAGCCTCCGGGCTGGCTCCTCCCCAGGGCCCTCCCAGGCCCCAGGCCCGTACTCCCCGGCTGTGGCGCCCAGCTGTTCTTCGCTGCCGCTGTGGCTGCCCTGACTGCCCTCTGTGCCTGCCTCGCCGCCCTGCCTCTCCAGAAAACTGAGCCGGTGCAGTGCAGCCCCTCCCGCCGGGGACTGCAGGTCTGAGGCCTCCTCCAGCTCTGAGTCGGAGTCATTGGAGGCGACGGGTTCTGAAAAGTCCAAGGGAGAGGGACAGAGATACAGAGGGACAGATGGACAGCCTGTGAGCTGGGGGTGGAACCACTGGGTATCTGCCTCTGGTGACACCAAGAGGCTCCCCCCCCACCCCACCCCAGCAGGCCTGTCTCCTTGCTCAGAACCCTCTCAAGTCAGGTGCAGGGTCTCAGATACTTGGGGTTGTTTCCACATCTGGGTGCCTGTTTCTTGGAGCTGGCAAAACACCTTGAAAGGGTATCTCTTTGCAAGGGTTTGTAATGGATTAAAGACAGGTGACACTTGTGTCTGGGGAGACAGTTCAGTTTGCAGCCCTTGACATGGACCTACTACATCACCCACCATCTGCCCAGTACCTCCAGGGCCACCCCACTCACCAAGGCCCCCGTCCTCAGCCTCTGTCAAGGGAAAGGCTGCATCCCCGCTGCCCCGCCGGTACGGTGCCTGGACCACCACCTCGGGTCGCTGGCTGGATACCCCATCCTGCA